TTCTGTCTGTCTCTCTCTCTCTTTTGTTCTGTCTGTCTCTCTCTTTTGTTCTGTCTGTCTCTCTCTCTCTTTTGTTCTGTCTGTCTCTCTCTTTTGTTCTGTCTGTCTCTCTCTTTTGTTCTGTCTCTCTCTCTTTTGTTCTGTCTCTCTCTCTTTTGTTCTGTCTCTCTCTCTCTTTTGTTCTGTCTCTCTCTCTTTTGTTCTGTCTCTCTCTCTTTTGTTCTGTCTCTCTCTCTTTTGTTCTGTCTCTCTCTCTCTTTTGTTCTCTCTCTTTCTCTCTTTTGTTCTCTCTCTTTCTCTCTTTTGTTCTCTCTCTCTCTTTGTCTCTTTTCTCTCTTTGTGTCTCTTTGTCTCTTTTCTCTTTGTCTCTCTTTTGTTCTCTCTCTGTCTCTCTTTTGCTTTCTTTCTCTCTCTTTTGCTCTTTTGTTCTCTCTCTGTCTCTCTTTTGTTCTCTCTCTGTCTCTCTTTTGTTCTCTCTTTGTCTCTCTTTCTCTCTTTTGTTCTCTCTCTCTCTGTCTCTGTCTGTCTGTCTCTCTCTTGTTCTCTCTGTCTCTGTCTCTCTCTCTGTCTCTCTCTCTCTCTCTCTCTCTCTCTCTCTCTCTCTCTCTCTCTCTCTCTCTCTCTCTCTCTCTCTCTCTCTCTCTCTCTCTCTCTCTCTCTCTCTCTCTCTCTCTGTGTCTCTCTCTCTGTGTCTCTCTCTCTTTCTCTTTCTTACTTTTTTTTTTTTACTCTTGACAGCTATGAATCGAAATTTGTACAAATGTAACCTTTATGCCAGAAGCAGAGTATATTTGAGACTGAAATGAAGAAAATTATTTTTGAATTTACGATTAGCTTTAGTTTCTATTTTTACCTGTGTGTGCGAAGTAGAATCAGGAGGGAAGCCACAGTCAGGCCCACTTACAATATTTAACCTGCCTACTTTCATCCAAGCACGTGTGGATTGCTTGTTTTTAACCTGCAGTGTGTCCTGGCTTTTGCTGATGGTTTTCCAAAGGCTAGAACATTGCTTCCGTCCACAGCCCCTCTCACCCTTACCTTCTCCTCAGGTCAACATTGACTCAGGGCACACAGAAGGAGCACCACAGGAGGAGAAGAAGGAGGTGGATTTCTTTGAGGAGCATGCCAACTTAGTCACTGCTGACCATGTGCCATTCCAACCCTTGTGTCAGTCTAAGGTACCCCAGCTGCGCGTAACTGTGCCGCAGTTACATGCACTTTTTCTAACGTGTTTCTGTGCCTCTTTTATGCGGTGTATTTTCCAGCTTCTGAGATAGGTTTGTGATGTCTTGGGCTCTGTTAATTCTCTCTGCATGAACACTTTTAACTTTTCATTTAGGCTTTAATTAAAAAAAAAAAGGATTGTTTCTGTTTGCTTTTGCTTTACATAAAGATAAAGAAAAAAAAAAGAGAATAAAGAAAAATATATGTACTGTATGTATTTATGTATTTCTAAATGCTATTGCTCATTGCATATGCTTTTATTAGTCTGAATTATAGAAAAGCTTGAGGAATATGCACACAGTTAAACATCAACCATTTCTCAAAAATTCTCTGACTTTGATTTTCAAAAGGGCTTCAGTTTTTGCACTTTTGTTAATGAAAGAATGAGTGCTTATACAGAAAGTAAATTATTCATTCATCATTCATTCTGAATAAGAGATATCCAGACCCATTACATATTATGACATCAACCAAGATTTTGTCTTTGTCTTTTTTTTATTATTTTTTTTTTATAACATTTTTCATTTTCAAATAATTTTTTGTGTAATGTATATGTGCTGTATATAACTTTTTATATGTTAGTACATAGAGATACTCCACTGCTTATTTTTTATGCATCTATCTTTTTTTTTTAGTCCGTAATAAAATGCAAATTTTAATTCTTGTGATGCTATAGATTTTGGGGGGCTTAGATAAAATTTATAATTTTTTGTTCACAATTGTGCCAGTTCAGTGTTGGGAAAATGTTGCTTGGTGTCAATTTCACACGTTCTTTTCAACAAATTCTGTATATCTTCCTTCATGCAGTTTTTTCTCACCATTAACCTCATTGACTTTAGTTCTCTAATAGTAGCCTACTCTGCTTTATTCCATCTCTCCTTACCTAGATTATTGTCATTGCACCAAGAACATGCCCCTTTTTTTTCCAAGTCTCTCTCTCACCATCTGCACCTTTTGCCCTTTGCGTAACTCTCCTCGCTTCCACCATCAGGACATCAGCACAAGTAATGGGACGAATGATGCTTCTGACGGTGCTCCCAATGTAGAGATGGCTCTCAACATGTCCGCGACCGATGCCCAGAAACTGGCATCCCAGCCGCATAAATCAACCATCGGCCAGCGGAAACCGGCTTCCAAAGTGAGTAGTGAAGTTGTGAACGTCTTTGCTCATTCTCCTGATTAGTTTTTATCTCGGTGACATTACTTAAGGCATTGTTTGATTTAAGATTAAGAGGGAGAGGGGGTTTCTTTTTGATATATATAAGAAGTATGGAACTATATGGAAAGGTTAAGAATTTGCTAAAAAAGAGATACACCATTTTTTTTTCTTTTTTTTTCTCCTCTTTTGCAGTCTTCAAGGTTATTAACTTCAATGATTCTTATTTGTTTTTTTGCCCAAGAGGCTTGGAGCAGCTTTTAATTTTTTAGATAAAGAAATATGTACTTTGCTCCTTGATTTTTACCTTTTAAAGGATTCCTGAAATTTGTCATTTTTTAGATTTAAATTAATGATTATGATTTCTATAACAGGTAGAAGCCAGTGGTTCCACTTTAAAGGTAGTTTCTTGGGTGAAAGTGTGATTGAAAGCATGCACATTTCTGGGGTTTGTAAAAAGCAGACGTAAGAAGTCATATCTTGAACACAGATATAAACACAGTAATATCTGTTACTTGGTGTTTTGAGTTAAACTAGATTCCACGTCAAATGGTAAGACTGTTGGATGAGGAAATTAGTCTCACTAGATAAGTTAGTTAGTTTGTTTTCTCTATTCTTTATGGCTGTTTCACATCAAGCCATTTCATAATGAAACATGATCCTTTTGAAATTGAAATCAAAGGAATGTGAATAGTGTATTTGTAGGCACTGATATAGTGTGAAATTAAAAAAAATTGATTTTGTAACAGCCATTACAGGTAATTTTTTTCTTAACAAAAATTGATATTTCTTAGGTCTGCTTTTATGGGTTTTGGATTTATTTCTGTGTGTTCATTCAGGTAAAGTTTTGAAGGTGGTTGATTCCAGTTGAAAGATATATATTTATATATTTGTTTTATTGTTATCAGGAGTTCAAAGAAAACCAAAGGGGTGTCACACTAGCACTGTTTGTGTTTTTCACTACCCCTGGCATATTGTCCAAATGCTATAAGTACCAGTCATAAGATAATTACTGTTTTTGCTAGCAAGTTTTCTGCTGGGTCTTTGTATTCAAATCATAAGCTATAGTTGATAATCACTATTGTAATGCAAAACAAATGAAAAGACAATATAAAGTGTAATATATAATGATTAGCAAAATTCTTCCTTGTGTTTATCATTAAAGAAATTCAAGGCTACTAGCTGCCTTGTAGTGTGACACCGCCTTAAAACCATTTACACTCCACACATTCACAATTTCTAGTTTGAGTTCACTGGCTGTGAAAATGCACCTTGTTTATGCATCCAGTTTTATTTGGTAAGAATGTTTTACAAATATTATTTCATGAAATCTGCAACACCATCTTTCTCACTAAACCTGTGACAGCTGGGAGCCAAGAAAGGTGGGGGTCTAGGAGCCCAGCGTGTGAAAAAGGATTTCTCTGCCATTGAGAAGGAAGCTGCCCGCAACGACCAGCTCAGACTAGAAGCCAAAGCCACCGAACTTTCAAAGGAGGAGCAACAGCAATCGGTTTGTGTATAGTCTCCTTGTGTGTTAACTTGTTATTGATTTTTTTTTACTTGTGTCATTTATCTCGCCAAAAGGGAGTTACTTTCATAGAAGAATATCTGATATCTGTTATCAGTATTTGTTTTCTAAAATAATGAAATGTCATACCCTGCAAACCAGTAACTTTTAGAAAGTGGTAGACTGCATGACACTTACATAAAGGAAAATACCTCTGCTTAATCTTAAATCATGACTGTCAACAAAAAATATGAACAGTAATGTGTGTGTTCAGATAAGATGAAAGAACCATAATAAAAACAGAATAATGAATTATAACAAGTCATCACTGTGTCCCTCTATAACATTTCTCTTCATATCCCATCACACAGTTACAAAGTTTAGAGCGCGCTTATGAGGATATGAGCATTGCTGGGAAGCGCGAGGAGGAGCGAATGATGAGAGTGGACCCCAAGAAGGCACAACAGGCAGAGCGACTTGGCATGGGCCTTGGAGCTCGGAGGTAAAATTTTGGGGGATCTTTGTATTTCAACTCTGATGTGTGTGTGTGTGTGTGTGGTTGTTGATTTATTTATGATAGGTCATTTCTTTTACATGACCATACACCTAATATAGGTAGCCAGGTAGAGCCTATGATTGGCAAAAACTTTATAAGTTTTGACGTTGCGAATGTATGTTGATATTAATGTGGCTGCGTTATTTCAGGTCCTTCCTCCTCCTAGCCCCTCCCTCTCATTCCTTACTCCCCTTCCCCCCCTTCCCTGTTATGATGATTCCCCCCCATATCTACTCTTCCTTGTTCTCATTTCCTATGTAGCTGCTAGACACTTAGTAAAATGACCCACTATTACAAGTCTTATTGTTCAGATCTTAGGATAATGGAGTTTTTCCATATTAAACTTCACATTTATTCCCTATGAGCCATGTGGCAAATTCTTAACTGTGTCTTATTTGCTATGATTGTAGGAAGCCTGTCAAAAGCTAGAAGGATTTTTCCTACAGTTTTTTGTTAGGAATGAGATGTACATATAATCCTCTAAATATATCTGGTACCGTCATGTAAGTTTCAATCAGCCACACTTATGATATCTCCCCCTACCCTCACTCCCCTTGTAGGCAGTCTACGTATTGTTCCATTTATAGTTCTGTCTACTTAATTCTTTTATGTTGTTTGGAAAATGTATATGAAATAAGTTATATACTGCTCAAAGTTTAGAGAACCGAGGATCATAATGTAATAGTTGTACCATTATATTAATGATTATTCTAGGATATTTTAAGGATCAATCCGCCTGTGAGATTGTTCATAATTTTTTCATCATTTTCTAGACAGGGTGATTATTCAAGGGTTAATGATTTTGGGCAAGACATAAATAAATTATTTTAATTTTTTCCCCCACTTTTTTTTTTCTTTTAGTGGAGCATCACACAGCATGTTTGGTGAAATGAAGACCATAGAGCAAGAGACACCGGTTGGCGCCAAGTCAAACAGAAGTAACAACAACAACTTCCGTGACGATGACATTGAAGAGGACTTTGAGACTATAATAAGATTTTCTTCTGGACCACCAAAGTAAGGAGGGTCTGAAGTAGGACCTTTTTGTGTTGCGTGTGCTGTTAATAAATGTTAATAAGATAAAAAAAAGAGAGAAATAGACTGAGATGAATAACTGATATATGAAAGTAGCTGAAATTTAAGAAGGATTAGTAAATGTATGTGCTAATTTTATTGTGCATTTTATGTATTAAACAACTCGTTTGCGAATTTACACATAACTGCTTTAAACCATTTCCCCAGGTATCGCGACAGCCCGTTTGAAGACAGAAATAACTTTGGCTTTGCTGGAGGTAAAGGGTCAGGCATTGATGATCTCTTAGGCAACAAGTCCTCCATGACTTCCTCGTCATCCTGGGAAAACGAATTTGATAAGTCAAAGTCATCCTCCGGCGTCAGCTCCTCCAGCAGTCTGGGGTCGATGTCGTCCTCTAACAAGGGTAAGATGAGTGGTTAAGAGTAACTTGGCAAAAATTATGTTGACTTATGTTAACGTTACTGAAGGAATTTCTGTGACGAGAGTTATTTTTTGTATGATGGTGTTTTTCCAAGAGTTATTGTGAGAAGGGTGTTTTTCAGGGAATAAAAAGGTGTACAAGATGGAAGGAAATATAAAAAATTATGAAATTTGTACAAGAAGAACAGGTAATTGTGAATTTTAATCACCATCCAACCAATACTTGATGATGAAGATGATGATGAATAATTATTATTAATCATCTTTATCATCATTCTCATTCTCATTGTTGCTGTTGTTGTTGTTATTATCATCATTATAATAATAATAATAATAATAATAATAATGAAGATAGTGATAATAATAATAATGATAATGATAATAATAATAATGATGATAATGATAATAATAATAATAATGATGATAATGATGATAATAATAATGATGATAGTGATAATAATGATGATAGAGATAAGATAGGTAATGAAAAGTACGAAATTTGGGAGGTCTTTTAGTTGAGAATGGTACATAGAAGGACTGTGAATACACTGAAGGAATGAGAAAATCTGTTGAACCTATGAATAGTATGATATAGATGATGGAGTTGCTGTTATGTATAAGAAAAGGGCTAGGGATTTTTCAGGTTTCAAATTTCAACTGGTCTAGTTTAATAATTTTACAGATGGTGCTTCAATTTCATTCCACTTGCTCTCTTTGACTGATTTTCATATTGACCGAAACCCATGTAAAAGAATATTAACCACTCTTTGTATTTGATTTTATTTATTTATTTATTTATTTATTTTTTACTGGTGGTGCTTATAGTAGAAAATGTAATTACTTATAAGAGTGTTTGGCATAATTGCCTTTTTGGCTTATGGTTATAATACAGTAAGTTGATGATGATGATGATTATTATTATTATTATTACTATTATTATTATTATTATTATTGTTATTATTGTTATTATTATTACTATTATTATTACTATTACTATTATTATTATTATTATTATTATTTTATTTTATTTTTTAATTATTTTTTTTAACTACATTTTATTAATCAAGAAGAAGTCCTTGTCAGTGTGCTCTAAAGAGAATATAGAAGACATCCCCATGAAAGCTGTTATGGTTCTTCCATACATGTACAGTTGCATAGGCCAGTGTTCCTTTGCTATCTTTCTTAAAAACTGAACTCTCATGTAGGACTGTTGATAGTTTCAGTGCTGTTTGTCTGTACAGAAAACTTTGTCATTTGCCTATAAATGTTGTAAAAAAATAAATTGATTGTATCAAGTGACATCGTCTTTTAACCCCCTAATTTTTCAATTCTAGTCTCTGCATCGGCCAACTACAAGTACACCCCAGTGGAAGATAAGAAAGCACAACAGAAGTTCGGCAATGCCAAAGCCATCTCGTCTGACATGTTCTTTCAAGATCGTGACCCAGATGCCGAAATGCGCTCAACACTGGCACGGTACGAAGGATCGTCGTCCATCTCGTCAGCTGATCTGTTTGGGGGTCCTCAGGCACCAAGGCAGCAGTACAGTGGAGGCTCCATACAGGTTAATATCCTCTCGCATTCGGACATTCTTTCAATCT